AGTATTAAAATGATAAAATATTAATCATTTATGAAATGTTATTTAATATTGACCCAAAGTAAGGATTTTTTTCAAATTTCTAAATTCTCCATGATTACAATCAACTACAAAAACCTCTTGGAGAATTGACACAATTTTTGATGCCTTGTCAACAAGGATCTTGACATAGCCTGATGATAACAAGTTCATTTTTTTCTCGTCATGTGTCATATGATCCGGAAGTCTTCGGAAGTTAAGGACTATTTTACTTACAACATGATGACATAATGCGTCTTGCCTTGTGCCAATAAGCACAATAATCATATCGGAGGAGAACGATAGCGAACTTATATGCAATGTCAGCTTAAGACGACGATCCTCCTCCAGTCATATACATGCCATTACGTCCACTGCTTCTATTGCGACAAAGATATTTCTTCGATTGTGTGAATTAGTCAGTTCCGTTGAAGTATGCTGCAGGTGACTGTTGCAAGTGACTAATGTTAGAACAACATTGAGCTCTACTGAGGACAGGAAGAAATTTCACAGGTTGACAGACGCATTTGATCACATGGATTATCACATACTGGAAAAATTTACTTCGTGTTGATCAACTAAGAAAAGGGGCATTTTTTCTTGGGTACACTAGGGTACTTTTGATGTTAAGGAGGGCATATTAACTTGATCCCGATTTGTTAATAGTTGCGTAGCAACGAAGGGTTATCTATGAGATTCACTGATATTTGCCATAATGGCTCTCCGTTGTGTTGAAGTCAACGAGGAATTTTTGGAGAACTAACGCGAGGCAGTGATAATGAAAACTGCAAAAGAAGTACTGACTACTGGACCAGATTTTTTTAACAATAGACGAAATGATGAGAACTAGATAGCTGAAAACAGCTCCCAATGTGAATAATTTTAGCCATTGGAAAGTGACGGTCAACATCGCTAGAAGCCACTCTTCAATAAGTGCAAGTGAAAGTACAGTTGAACCACGCCTTCAGCTATGGTATTACATTTATATTAACAACCATTTATTGTGCCTTATACTAAACCCCTGTCAAATTCCTATTTCTTATCTAAATGAGGGATGGGCTGCTACTACTTTGGCGGAGGAGGCTATGGAAACAAATTGTTCCTTTGAGACGGAGTACTGGACACGGAGCTTCCCAACTGCAACTGTGCGGCTCCTGATAGACTACCCTGGGCAGGCTTTTTTTAACAAGTACCAGTAGAAGAAAAAAACCGATGAGAACGACACCAAGAAGACTGCAAAATCACAGCAATCATTGTCATACTATTGCCACTTGAGTGGAAAAGAAATTAATCACCTTATTATGAACGCGTTTCGATCGTCGACATCGAGGAGAATTTACTCTTCAATGTCGTCGGCTTTTTGTTCCGTATCGGCTCTGAAAGCGGCTGTTACGAACACATACCACCAGCAAATCAGGAGAAGATAACCAAATAATCCAGTTTAAAAGAATGCTGATTAAGAAGCCTGTTACCACACCGTAAACAATTGTTCAACATTATTTTCGGCTGACATGTAGCAAGTGAAGAATGGTGAACTCCTTGTCTCCTTATTGTTGTTTATTTCACGCACTTGAGATGTACACATACTCCTTGTCTTTCACATGATTACATTTGCGCTTTTCTTATAATCGTACGGAAATCCTACCAGCCCTTTCCTGAACTGACCGATATCCCGTTGCGTGAACAGAGCGAAACCTCTGGCGGACACTGGCATAAACACAAGCGCGAAGGGGCCGTGTATTCCTCTAACCTAAGTTTCCAAAAAACATCCCACGAGCCATCAAATCCCCCCTGCCCTCAAGAAACTTAAAGTAGCAACAGTAGCAATGTCAATCTGATAACAGCACTGCAGATGAAGAAAAAAAATTATTGAGCGCTGTGTGAAAGTCGATGCATGCGAAATATTAATTTACAATACTGATGTCAGTTATTTGCCATGGAGCGAAATGGATTATATGGCAATGCTGCACTTATACTAACGAAGTTTTCTCCATTAAAATCTATATTTGAGGTTAACTTACATCAGATAAACTCACCCGTTTTCCGTCCGACCGCCTCACTGAGCCTTTGCAATCTTTGAGGGAAGGAGCAACTTGTAGTGAAACTGCCCGATGACTTCTCGGCACAAAATCATTGAGCCTCGTGATACAGCCGATTCTTTCGTCAAAAGTTAGCCTACAGCAACGAAAGTCTAAAGCACTAACCAAGGGGGACCTTCGCCGAACTTAGTGTGAAGGAATTAAATGTTATGGCAACAAAAACGAACACAATTACCCATTTGTAACCACGAGAAGTAAATTTTTCCGCGAATTTTTTCAAAATTCTTTGTTGCCCAATTATTCTAGTTCTTTCATCGTGTTTAGTTTGGTTTCAATGCTGTTGTTCAAAATATCCGTTGTTTTCCATTCTCGGCGTCGTGTTACGTAATCGTTTAGTGTTGGTTACTTAAGTTCATTTGCTGTATTCTTTTCTGGTTTTAATTAGTATAAAAGTTAGCATTCTTTTCTTGTAAGCTAGTTGTTGGTTTTTTTTCCGTTGTTGCCGTAAAGATCTTGTACTGAAGTATTCTATTTTTTTTTGTGTATTTTCTCTCGTTTCTATTGTATTTGTACTTCTTTTTGGTCTCCCAAGTTCGTATTTAATAATTCGGTATTTGTTACAAATATTTGTTCAAGTGAATCGTTAGCAGTAAAGTACGAATTTTAAACTTTACTTGGAGTGTAATTTACACCATTCTTAACATAGATTTCGCCATAGAAAACAAAACACATAGGCAGCAAATTAAACATTCTGTAATGGGAGCTTTTTGTTCTAATCTTGACCTGAATACCGCACGCGAGAAACCGTCTTTGTCGGTCTTCGTCGAAACTTTCGTTTGATGCACGCGGTTCTCCTTCGTAGGGCTAAACCATACTCGCAACTTCCATTTCTTCTTTACTACTTGAGTACGATGTAACAAAACTCTCGGTGGAGCTTGCTGAAGGTAAGTATACATCGCTATCAGTCATTATTTTGAGAGTACTTCAACGCTGACTGTACAAAATTACTAGAGATGTGAGAGATTTGTAAGTGTCAACGGAGAGTTTCCACAGTTTTCTTCGTCATCACCCGCTAATTCGTTACCAGTCCACGGGACACTTTTAAGACAAAATAAGAGGACTTTAAGGCCTGAGAAAACCGAGTTTTAAGTATGTTGAAATCTTTCTTCTACCGGAATTGGTTTGTACATATGATAAGCTAAACATTTACGCCCAAAAAAAATTTCGTGTCACAGGTAATTTAAGAATACCTCTCGAAACAGCGACAAACCAGTCTTAAGGTGAGCATATAAGATATAGATATTAAAAAAAAGGGGCAGAATCCCTTTCGATAGCATCGCTGATGCTTTGATGCATTCGTCGTTTAACTGCGAGCGTGGTATTGATGTCGAAGTTATTGCGCTCGTAAACGTCGCACTTGAAAGAATTCTCTCTTATTCTATTAGATACGTATGATAGATATTGAATACAAACTATGAACAGTTTTTTTGTCCGTATAAAAGCATTGTTTGCGAATACTTCGCTGCTGTTTTTCGTTTTCATCGAGAGATTTTAGTAGCTTTGTGGACTGGCAAGTGCCGTTGTCTCGTCTTCTTTGCCACGCAAGATCCTTCGAAGCTCTTTGGTGTTCTTTCGGTCTACTTAATCTCCTTTCGAATTAACCTTTGAGAAAAAGGTTAGTTAAATGCAAGAAGATTTCATTTTCAATGTGATTCACAAAATATGGTAAAATACCTCTCCAGTAAATCGAAGTGCTCGTGTATGCTCAAATAGTGGTGATATAAACAAGCGCTTATAAACTTCATAGCGCACGGTTATATTTTGCTCTGCAGTTCTTTTAATTCCCGGTGTTTTCAACACATTATCAGAAATAAGAGATTAACTTTTGGGGAAATTTCTATCTGTCTGAATTTTACTTCTTTGACTAGAAATGATGAAAAATCCAACTTCTGACCTTGAAAATGGGAGGTCGACGTATACACGAGTAAATACGGTAGGCATTTCATTTGTATAACAATTAAGACGATGCTAAATTCCACTGATCAATTTCTCAAAATAGAGTTACGTTTGACGATACCTGAACACCACAGCAATACAATATAACATTTGCCAAGTTGGGGACCCAATACGTTTCAGAACTAAACCATATTTTCCCGCAACTCAAGGAAAAAAAAGGGAAGAGAGGCTACTCACAACATCAAGGAGGGTATTATTACGCCGTCTCCTAAATTTACATACAGTGCATGGGTTTGAGCACTAGTGCGTGACAAATAATCAAAAATTTCAACATGAGGATACTAGGAACTTATTCCTCTAATTTGATGACGTTTCTGTGTACGATTAATTCCTTTTAATATTGCAGCGGCACTATTGCCATGGAACAAATAGTTTATTATTAGCGTGGCTGTTTTAATACATCAGAAAGGAGGAAGAGAAAAAGAGAAAAAAACATTGCGGGAACCTGATCATTGGCTTGCTTATACTACGAAGCTCAACTAATTTTCCTTCTTTTAATGTTAAATCCTTTTTGCTCCATACATCAATTTTTTTGAAGCAGTATTAATTATTAAGGTAAGTCTTAGTTACTATTTTGCTTACGTTACCTCTCATATTTCCGTGTGAATTTTTGTTCTGTAGTTCTGCTAAACTTTCACGCATCAACTTAATTTGGGTATCAAAATGATTAAACATTTTTGCTAATTGGGGACACTAAATGAAGTTATACTTTACAAGATATAACAATATTGACGTCTCAGAGTTCATTCCTGGTGTGGCGTTGTTGATCAGTGACGTGATGACGCGTTCATCGATTCCGAATATTCTCGATTTAACAAGAGGATCTGAACGGATTAGAGGTCATAAAGTAACTTGAGAACAGTTTGGGTAAATACTCACTTTCCGTGCACAATGAGTTTCTTTTGACATGTTTCTTTGATTACTCAAGGTGAGTGGACGGTTTGTAAGGTATTTCTTCTCCGTTAAAACTCATGAACATCTGGAAACTGGGAAGAATAAACAAGGTACCTTTGAATATTTCACTAAACTTAATGAACGTAATGAACTTAACATTTCGATCGACTGATCAAGGACTTAATACATGAATGTCCGTCTGTTTCTCATGCTTGTTCAATTTACAATATCTTCTCTCTTCTCATTTAGGTTTCCCCTTGAATCTAACAGGAAAAACTTCAATTTAGACGAGGAACTACTGGATGCTCATCAATTTCCGCATTGAGAAGAGAAAGGTAGTGAAAATGAAAGTTAAACAAAATACTTACAAAGTTACGGATCAAACACAAACATCGTTATGCCTAATTTTCCATTAGGCATAAAAAATTTGATCGTAGTATACCAAATGTTTAAAGCATGATGGCAAATCTTTCAAACGTACGTGGAAGGTTTCATGTGCAAGAATTCAAAGCCCATTTGTTTGGCCTTTGATAATAAGGGAAACAGAACAGACATCGAAATTGAAACTCAATATGGGGTTTTTCCCGCTTCCGTAATTATGTCGCACTTTTGATCTAGCTGACTTTGTCAAACCAGCAAATGTTCCCCGTCTGCCTTACAGAGAACAAGGGGATTGTTGGCTAGAGACAAATTCTTTTAAAAACACCGAATGTGAAGAGTGGAATTACAGGAACGATCATCGGTTCCCATAACTTTAGACAAGGAATTTCAAAGCACTTGGGAATCAACTTTAAAAACATGGTAACGACTTGGAATTTATATATATATTTCAGCCGTCGGCAGTGTTTATTACAATTTTAGAATTTCCAATTGTTTTTCGAACTCGAGTTTTCCGTTGGCACAATACCTTAGCGGGGTCGTAATCACTAGAAATCAGGATTATTACGCCATACCTAAACTAAAATATTCGTACCTCAACAAAAACGTTTGCACATTTTGCATGTGCTTTAAGGGTGATTGTACGTTTTTTCCACCTCGTTTTCCGCTGTAGTGCCATGTGCGAAGTGCATATGAATATACAGAACGGCTATTTCTACCGTCGACCGCTTACATGAAATATGCACGGTACATAGCCCCAAATTTGCATATTGTGCAAAAGTTTGCATAATGATTCCTAGTCGATATCAAGAATGCAATGTTGTCTAATATATATATATGAAAAAAATTTAAATACCATCGGACTACTTCGCCATCTTACGGAAAACATGGATACCAAGAAGAATCGAATATCTTCTTCAAAAACCATAATCTTTAAGGTCAATTCAGCAGATTAAAGATAAGATCGGTAACGAGGCGTTCGGGGTTTTCCCGCGCAATGACCACTTTCAATTTCCATCTGCGATATTCGTTTCCTTTTAGTTTTCTCCGCCTTTTAGATCTTAATTATTAAAACAGATGTTTATTTAAAATAAACAAAGCGGAAGCAAGGTCGGAGTAGCGGCCAACGTCACGTCATTTTATGCCATTGGTTTGTTGAATACATCAATGGTATACCGTAAATATTCACGAAGATTGAGGTTACCGACGAGGAATTTACAGAAAATTCCTACTTGAAATTAACTCATGTTCTGACCAACACTGATATAGAGCGATTGCATCACGGTTATTTCTTTCGATATGCATGTAAATGCAATCCGTCCATGAATACCGACGCTAGTTTTCCTTTCGCTACACCTACGCATCCCTTTGAATTTTACAACACAAAAGAAACTCGTAATTAAGTGAAGAAAATGATTCCATAAATTTTCCGAATGAAAGCTCAAAAATAAAATTGGAAGTGACATCATCTATGAAACTCATTAGCTGTTGTGACATTATTTACAAAACATCATGGTCACAAATTGAATGTCTGAAATATTTAGACAGGGCGGTCATTTCAGTCTGAAAAAAATTGAAACAACGAGAGAAAAATATGGAAAGTGGGTGAAAAATAACTAATTGTCTGTGAAAACAAAGGATTCAATCCTGCATCATTCCAAAAAATGGAACATTGTGTCGGAAACAGTCTATAGGAACCCTATATAAGTCTTGTTCTGTACGAAAGGGTCAATTGTCAAAACATTCGATTCTCATTTTTTCACAATACTTGTGAAGTTTATACCAAGCCGAGTGTTCAAGTAACTCTCGGGGAACAAAAAACAAAATAAAAACAGGAACTAACAGAAGAGAGAGACCCTTTCAGCAGGAGCAGAGAACTTAATTAGATTCACTTTGAAAATGATTCATACACCATGATATTAGGTGAAAGTAGAGAGGGATCACATTAGCAGCTATACTCTAGCTGTGCTCTCGAATGAATTGCTTTACTAAAAAGTAGATTGGATAAAACTTGACTTTCAGGAAAACAAGATGAGGACGATGCTCCGGCTGTTGAAAGAGGGTTACGAATTCGTTGAACTAATCAGACACCGATTTCCAAGAAAAGTCCATGCTGTCAGGATTCCACTTCGTCGTGGATTTTATCAGCGAAAAGAAGATAAAGAAGTTATGAATACGTTGAAACGCCTCTGCAAAAATGGTAATTCCTCGCGCGTGAAGACCCTGATTTTACATGGGCCAGCAGGACACGGTAAAGTGCACTGCGCGGCAAATCTGATGGATCAACTTTACACTAAACCTGTATGCTCGCGATTCTTCTGGAACCAATCATGGAATTTTCGAAACAGACCAACAGTCCTGTGGACAATCAACGCAACAAATAAAGAAACGATGCTCGAAAGTTTCTGTAGCCTTGCCAAAGAAATCGGTCTGACTAAACAGGCCAAGGCTGCAAATCAGGAACTATCACTTTTCAGCAGAACATCAGAAGGAAGACAATACCACATGAATCTTCAAAATCAATGTCAAGAAAATGCCTACGACAAACCTTTGAAACAAATTTACGAAGAAGTTATGAAGACCATCAGACGGCACGGCTCCTGGGTGCTATTGATAGAAGGTGCTAAAGAAGATAGGTCAAGTCAACAACAATTTTGGCCGTCGCCAGGTGATCCAAGCCTTGGAAATGGTCTGGTGATCATGACCACTGAAGATTCTAAGTTACTGCAAGAGGAAGGTGATGACTATCCATTAGCGAAGGTGTTCATCGGTAAAATGACGAAAGAAGATGCAGTCAAATTTTTCGCGAAAAAAAGTGGTATGCCTTTAACTGTTGCTGAACGCTTCGCAAATCTGGTACATTTCATTCCCCAGGATATAGCAAAGTGAGTTCCTTTACCTTAAAAGAAACTAAAGCTAAGTGTTCGATTTGAATACCTTGAGAGTTTCTTTCTAATCCTCTTCACAATCAATCATTAACCAATGAATCAACCAATCAGTAAAAATCACGAATGATCAACTCACGGTAGACGGTAACTCATCAGAGACCATCCCTTTATAAAGCATTTTAGAGGTTATATATCTGTAATTTTAATTGTTCCAATAACAGGTTTGGAGCTTTTATGAGGGAATACCAAGAAGAAACGAATAGACAACTAAATTTTGAAAATTTACCAGTACCACCGAAAGGAGTTTCATTCCCCGAGTATTTTACCATGATGATGGAACTAACACGTGAAAATCAAACGCAGGTAAGCTCAAAATTTTTAGTTTATCTTGCCGTACGGAGAGCCAGACTACCAAGTTTCAGAATTGCGATGTTAGAGAATTATACCTAGATTAATGGTTGAACCGGTCTTCCTTTTATATGTCAGTTCGGCAGTGTTCTAATCACTAACATCTTTGGTTCTCTCGTTTATCCTTAGCTGTTA